ATTGAATGGAAGGACATTGAGGAGCTGGAGCATGTGCAGAGCAGGGACCGGAGCCGGGGAGGGGCTGGAGCAGCAGGAGCAGCTGAGGGATCCTCAGGCTCTCCCCACGCTCCTCACATGGCAGTAAATGTGGGAGCAGGTCCCACATCTTCCAAAAGCCTTCAGGAGAGTTATTTTCTGCCCAAGCTCCTCCAGCACTCGTCACTGTGGGATCCCTGCCCACGCCGGGGCTGCCCAGGAGCTGTCCCAGCACGGATGAGAGTCAGGGACTGGGGCTGTGCAGTCCCTGGGTGGGACTGATCCCGGGGGCATTCCCTCATTAACCAGGATCTGAGTCAGCAGGTGGGAAGATGAGGGTCTGGCATTATGGGAACGTCGTCACCATTTTTTGACAATGTTTCTGATTTTTCTGACAGTGAAAAATTGCAGGTTTTTTGCTGGAAGTCTTTGAGAAGTGACGAGTTTCCGTTATTTTCAACTAGAAAGTTGCAATTTGCTTGTTTGGTGTGTGTTTAGGGACAAGACTCTGTGGCTGCTGTGCCATGAGGACAGAAACTAGACAGGCAGCAGTAGGAGAAACCAGGACAAAATATATGTAAGGATGTTTAACTTCAATTTATAAGGAAGATACATTGGAGGGGCCTCCTCTGTGGGGTTGGGAGGCAGTGCTGGACTGATGCTCCATCTCACCAGTGCAGAATTCCCATGGAACAGCACTGGAAGTAGGGAGGAAAAATAGCTGTGGTGAGGCAGGGTGAGCTGCAGAGCACAGGGATGGACTGGGATGCTCTGTGAGGAATAGGGTACCCAGGATATGCCACAGCATCCCTGTCCCAGCAGAGGTGCTCTGGCAGCAGCTGTGGATCAGGTTTAGCCAAAAGTGGGGATTTTTTGCCTCCACCACCCTGCAGGCTCTGTGCTGTCTCAGGGCTCTCCTGTCAGTCCTGCAGACAGGGAAATGAAGTGAGTCACAGGATGAGGGCAAACACCTCATTCCCTGAGCCTGGGGCAGCTACTGGAGCAGCTTTGCATCCTCTCTGGTTTATCATCCCCATTATCTCCTGAAGGGATTGTAGTTGATATTTTGCAGAAGGCTCTGCTGACGATGTGTTATTGACATATTCTTAGCTTAAAACCATTATCATGGTAAACCCCTGGATTTAAAAACTAATTACAAGACATTAATAGCTGAGCCTAAGAGCTAAGTCATGCAAATATTGCTGCCTGCAAAGGGGAATGTACACAAATGTTTGAACTGCTGAGTTAGGAGCTGGAGTCTGGAGGGTGGCAATAAATCCGAGCCCAATCCTTTGCCTTGTGTCCTGATGTGTCTGTGAGATTAACGGCACTGTCGGTATGAAAGTCATATCAGGGAACGTGGCTATTTTCTTCCCCAAGTAGGTTAATTATCACTAATGTAATTATTTTTGTACTGCTTTTTGTTTTAATCAAACATTGCATGAAACAATTAAGTTCAGAACAAATGGCTTATTAGGGGAATGTTTGTGGCGCTGGGAAGAACAGCAGCGACGTTTGAATTATGCACTTCTATTGAGTTACTTTATTCATTAAAATGAACAATTACATTAGGCCTTATGAGACAGACTAAGCATTTCTGGTTAATGTTTGTTCTGTAGTGAACATAATGAGAATTTATATCGGAAATGGACCCCATCCCTCTGGCTCGAGGCGTTTAGGAACTGGGCCATTCCTAGGAGTTGGGAGAGCTTGGGGAAGAAGGAGAGTTAACCCCTGGCCCAGGTGCTGCTGCATTGCCCCATGGTGGGGGAGGGAGTTTTTACTTTTCTTTTGGGTTTTTCACTTGTTTGTTTGTTTGCTGCTTTCCTGGTTCTGGCTTGGGGTTTTCTCCTGCACACTGTGCTGGCAGGGCTGACCACGGTGCCCCACTGCTGGGCACCTGGAGCACGGCCAGCTTCCAAGTTCTGTTTTCATCAGCTCTATTGAATGTCCTACAGTGAACCTGTTGTGGTTTAGAGGGTTATTTTCCCATTTATCAGATCAATCCAGCAGTGCATGAACTGTCATGGCCTGCTCATGATGCTGTTGAAGATGTGCCACTTGCCATGTCAATAAGCAGGTGATGGGCAAATATGTGATTTTCCAAGACATTAGACACATCTCTACAGCATCTGGTGCAGTTTAGGTTTTGCATCCTTCCCAAATTCAGCAGAATTGCCATGGAGAGGAGCTTCTTGTGTCCCCCAGCACTGACTGGGTCCAGTGCTAAGCTCAAGATGTGGAATTGTGGGCTCGCTGTGAGTACAAGGTGTCTGGCTGCCTCTGGAAGTGCTGTTGGCTTGGGAAAAATAAATTCCCTTATCCTCTGTGTGCCATTTTGACATAGGACTGAAATGGAAGGTTCTACATAAAAAAAACCAATTTTTTTATTAATTGCAAGAGTACTTCCTCATGCTTTATGAAATTGTTTGCTTCCTGCTTTGTAGACTGTGATTAGCATTTTCAGATCATCCTTGGAGGTATTAAAAAGATGTATAGATGTGGCACTTAAGGACAAATTTTCTTTCAAAATTATGCTTTTCTGAGTGGGGAAAGTGCCTCTGGTTTGACTGAGGTTCTTACCTCCTGTGCAGGTGCTGGTGCCCAGCACATTCCCTCACAGGCACTTTGCATCATTACTTTTCTCACCAGAAAGAGCAGAACTCTGCAAATCATTCTGAGGCCAGTGACGAGTTCTTGTGGTGTCTCTCCAGGAGGCCAGAAAAAGGACTTTCCACACTTTTACCCCATCTTGTATTTCTCTCTCTACACACGGTATCTGTGCAGAATAAAGCACCTTTAGGCTGTCCCAGGTCCCAGCAATGCCGTGGAATATGTCTGAGAATATGGAAATTCATCCTTTTGTAGCCATAAGGGGAAGCAGGGATGTGATAACACATTAATCAGTCTGTGGTTCTGAAGATATTAGCATGTGGAAAAATGTGAAAATCATTTCCTTGCTGCAGACTGGGTCAAAATCTGAGCAGTTGGGATGATGTTCTCATTTTGTATCAATGTCTGCTGCAGAAAGGGCATGAAACAACCTCTGTGGGTAATAGTTATGACAGAAAATGGAGGCTCTGGACTGGGTCAGTGACTCACTCCCTAGGTATAAACACCCAGGTAAGTTGTAGTTCCCCTGTCTCAGTCCACCTTGGAAAAGGGCAAAACACAGATCAGGGATTGAGAAGAGAGAGCAGCAGAGGGTCAATCAGATGGTTTCTTAACTTTTCCCACCTGCTTTAGGGGTCAGAGATCCCAGCCCTGGTTCTCTTTCCTCACCATCTCTTTGGGTCTCTACACTGGCCCCACCTGTGCCTCTGCAGGGAGTCAGGGATGTGGGCACGTGCCAGTTCTCCAGCTCTCCTACAGGGCATTCCCACAGCCCAGGAACTCAGCTCCAGCTCTGTAGGGGCTGTTACCATTGTGTTGGAGCAGTGATGGAGTCAGGCATGGAAATGGATTTCCTGGCTCCTTCCACTTCCAGAAAGACCAAAGTACAATTTACCAGTGCAATTAAATGAGTCATTTCCCTTTATCATCAGCATTCCTTTGCCTTCTGCGAGCTGCACACCTTCAGCTCAGCACAGCATGAAAGGAGGGTTCATGGATCTTTCTCTTTTCCAGGGTATTGAAGGTTAATGAAGTTTCCCAGGCAGTGGCAGAGCTCCGGAATATCCGTTATGGAGGGATTATTTTACAGCCCTCACAGACAGACTCTTGGCTCTCCAGTGTTTGAGCAGTGTGTGACTGCAGGGTTTGGGTTTTTCACATGTATGAAATTAGGATGATACAGGATCTGTTTTGAATTAAATTAGGAAAGTGCAACTTAATCCTTCAATTTACGCCTTGCAAACCCCAGTCTTCCTGTGGACATGGATAATCAAGGCAGCTGATTCAAGAAACACGTTCTAGAATTCTTTATTTGTAGGGAAAATAGTGGAGCTTGTCAGCATTTAAGTGACCTAAAGAGAAATAGCTGAAATTTTGTTTTTAATAACACTTACTTACATCTGTCCCAGGGGATCAGGTTTTATGTTTGGAAAAGACACACACACACACAGAGCAGCTGGTAGAGCCACTGGAATGCTGCTGGGCAGCTGAGTTGGTAGCTGATGCTGGCAATGCCAGGACCTTCCAGTCTGGACTGTTTCATGGGGGCTCCAATGCTGAGCCCCCCTTGTTCCTGGAACCTGGTGAGTGGCTTTAGTCTGACATAATTTGAAATGATTTGTGAGTCTAATTTTCCACAGTACTTGGGAACCTTTGTCACATACTTTGGAGTTCAGGATTCTCCAGACTGCAGAACAAGTGAGACTTTCCCTACATTTAATATAATCATTTATCATTTGCATTCCCAGAAGCATGTGTGGTATTTCAAAAGCTGAATGTGACTTTGAAATGAAATATTATCTAATTATTGCAGTTTTCATTGGTGACCATTTTCTCTGTCCTTCATATTTCTTACCTGGTTCATACTGCAGACCTTGCCATGTTCCTACTGATCCCATGCCCTGTATAAAACACATTTCCACCTTATTTAAAACATTCACCTGGTCAGCAACAGTTCCAGGAAGGAGATCTCTGTTTTGGTCTCGGTAAGAAGTGCCAGGTTTCGTGGAAAGCATTTGTGAATGTGAGTCCTGCCTTCCCTCGAGCACTGCAGTGTTCTTATTAGTTGTCACAAACAAGAGGTTTTCACTCCACAGTTTTATCTGATGTTGTGTGTCATTCCACCAGAATTAACCACTAACAAAAATGAAAAATGGAGGCAGCAAACACTGTTGTGCGTCAGAGTCCCTTGCAAAGACACCCGTGTGTGCAGTTCCTGCAGCGTTTCCAGGCGTCCGCGGCCTAAAGAGTTTATCCAGTGGGGTTTTTCCCATCGGGGTTCCCCCTTAGTCCTCCCCGCCGTGGTCCCCCCCCGGGGTCTGTGGCAGTGCCAGCTGACTGAGGGTGTGTTTCTGTTCCCTGTGCCGCAGGTGGAGGAGATGCAGTGGGGCGGGGGCGTGCGGGAGGTGCCGCCCTCGGTGTGCAGCCTGCCCTGCAAGCCCGGCGAGAGGAAGAAGATGGTGAAGGGGATGCCCTGCTGCTGGCACTGCGAGCTGTGCGACGGGTACCAGTACCAGGCGGACGAGGTGACCTGCCTGCTCTGCTCCTACAACGAGCGGCCCAACGAGAACCGCACGGGCTGCCGCTCCATCCCCATCATCAAGCTGGAGTGGCACTCGCCCTGGGCCGTCATCCCCGTCTTCCTGGCCATGCTGGGGATCATCGCCACCATCTTCGTCATGGCCACGTTCATCAGGTACAACGACACGCCCATCGTGCGCGCCTCGGGCCGCGAGCTCAGCTACGTCCTGCTGACCGGCATCTTCCTGTGCTACATCATCACCTTCCTGATGATCGCCAAGCCCGACGTGGCCGTGTGCTCCTTCCGCAGGATCTTCCTGGGGCTGGGCATGTGCATCAGCTACGCGGCCCTGCTGACCAAGACCAACCGCATCTACCGCATCTTCGAGCAGGGCAAGAAGTCGGTGACGGCGCCCAGGCTGATCAGCCCCACGTCCCAGCTGGCCATCACCTCCAGCCTCATATCGGTGCAGCTCCTGGGGGTCTTTATTTGGTTTGCGGTTGACCCGCCCAACATCATCATAGATTATGATGAGCAGAAAACTATGAACCCCGATCAGGCCAGAGGAGTTCTCAAATGTGACATTACGGATCTACAAATCATTTGTTCCTTGGGTTATAGCATTCTGCTAATGGTGACGTGCACTGTGTATGCCATCAAGACTCGGGGTGTCCCAGAGAATTTTAATGAAGCCAAACCCATTGGATTCACTATGTACACTACCTGTATAGTATGGCTTGCCTTCATTCCAATATTTTTTGGCACTGCCCAGTCAGCTGAAAAGGTAGGTGAGAGTGAACAGACCTGATATTCAGGACTCACTGTGGTTCTAAGGACGTGCTGATGCTCAGCTTTACGTGGATTTCCGGATGAGCTCTCCAGCCAGCTCATTCCCGAGACACAGGCAATATATGGCACTATTTTCCCTCCCCATTTAGCTTGTGGGTCATTCATTTATAAACTGGCAAATGATCAATAACAATCACATTAGCCATTAGTTTTATTGTTGCATCCCTTTCAATTGTATCCTTTCAGTAAGATAAGTGGGAATTAGCTGTCATATTATCCAGAAAGAGGCATCTCCTAACTCAATCATTTTGAATACCAGATGTAAGCAAGAAAACTCTCAAAAAATACTCAGAAGTCTCCTGTGCCTCTGAAGTTGGACACTGAGGGAGTGCACAGCCTGCTGAGTGCTCTGTGTCACAAACAGCAGCCCCAGGGCACATTTACAGCACAGACTGGGCATGGATGTCATAGCATGCTGTCTGTGATCCCCAGTCCCTGAACCCACACTTCCCTGCGCAGGAAAGAGCTTTGGCTTCTTGTTTCTTTTCTTGCCTCTATCTTCACTCAGCATTTGTTCTTGAACACAAAATTCAGGTGAGCTCAGCACTGTGGAGGGAATTATTGTGTCCCTTTAATGAGTGAGCAAATGCCAGGTCCCAGCTAACACACCTCACTTTGAGCTGGGGTAGGATTTCCACATTTGCAGTTGTTAAACTCCCAGGCTGTTGGGGGGAAGCTGCAGGAAGACAGTGCTGTCACCCAGGCAGGTCTGTGCTTTGGCTCCAGGTCTCTTCCATAGGAAGGTGCTGCACCAGTGCTTTGTTCTTTCCAGTTTGGGAGATTGGCTGTACAGATTTGCAGTTGTTTTGGCCTCAGTTTTGTCCCTCAGTGGAAAAGGAGATCACTCAGGAGGAAGTTTGCTGGAAGAGGGGATCACCCAGGCTCACCCAGGAGGACACAGAGGTTATAGAGAGGTTTCTGTGTGTCGTCTCACCTCTGCAATGGGCTTTCCATGCAGCCATTGCATTCCCAAAGGGAATTAATTTCAGCTGGAAAGGAGGTCTGCCAAGGCTTACAAACACTTCAAATAGCTCTGCTCTCCCTGCCAAGGGAGAGATAAGAAGCAGCAGAAACAGCTTTAACCACAGTGGGGTCTGTTTGTGACCTGGGTCTGACACAGGGAGTGTGAAGCAGCTTTTGGGCTCCCTGCCTGGCAGTGGGGCCTGCAGGTGACCCACATGAAGGGCTTTAAACTGTTGTCTGCAAAGATAACAGATAAGATAAGGGCTGATAAGAAAACACAAAGAATTCCCAAGGCTGCTGCCGGCATCCGAAGCCGTTGGGAGCAAAAGCTTCAGGTTTCCCTGTGCTTGCAGAGCTGAATTACCCTGGACTGGGAAAGCAGTAGATTCATGCCCAAATTGCCATAGTACAGAGAGGAGATGATGATGAACCTGATTTGCTCTAGAGCACAGAGGAGGGTCCGGGGCAAAGGCTGTGCCCCAGCCCGGGGTGCCCCTGCCCAGAGCTGGGGGGACACTGGGGACAAGGGACAGCAGTGTCCCCTGGCTGCCTGGCTGCCCTGTCTTGTCTGGCAAACAGGAGTGATCCTCCCTGGGCAGGGGGCACTGGGATGTCCTTGGGTGCAGTCCCTGTGTCTGTCCCCTGTCGGTCTGTCCAGCTCCCATGGCACTGGAACCCTCAGCTCCTGGCCCAGCACACGGTGCCAAACCCCCATGCCTGTGCTCCTGGGGCTTCCCCTCCTGCCCTGCAAGAGATGGAGCCGCAATAGCTTTTGTGCTTTGCTTTCTTTTCCATCTCCCTTTTTTGAGTGGGAGTTGTACTTTTTGGTGATTGTTAGTGATTTCCTGTCAGATATTTCCTGGAAAATATTGTGCTGTAGCTTAGCCACAGAGGCCTGGGCTGAAATGGAAATTGCACCTGCTGAAAATCTCATGCAGCACAATCTTTTAAACTGAGGAATGGTGTTATACATAACACTGTGGTTTTCGTTGTGTGGATTTATTTTATTTTATCAATAAATACAAGCATAATGTTGTTTGGTAGAAAGCATATTGAAAACACCTGCCTTGTTCAGGATAGAGAATAACACCTCCAACAACAAAAAAAGAACTCGAAATGTGCTGCAGGTAATTCACAGAAGGCAAATAAATTGAGCAGTAGCATTTGCAGCAGGTGGAGGGAGGCAGGAAGGTGTGAGGAAGGCCAGATACCAGTCTGTGCTACAGGATGGAGATAAAACATGAGGTGTATGGAAGATGGCATGGGGAAAAAGGTGATTCCAGACCTTTTTAACCAGTTTCTTTGTCCAGTATCCAGAAACTGAGAGAACACATGGCTGGTTATGATTTATAGGTCAGTTGTGGTTTATAGGCTTAGCTTGGTAATGCAGCAAGTGGATTCCTGGGGGTGTGGAATGTGGTTGTCCCTCCCATGTTTCACCGCCCTTTGGAGTTTCCTTGGCTCTGCTGCAGTGGCCACAGAGCTCCTGTTCCATCCCTGGGGATTGTCCAGGTTTGGGGGGGTTGTGTGTCAGGGTGGGGGGTTTTGTGTTTTCCTATACATTGTATATATCCAAAAATATGGGATATATGACCTTTGAGGATCAGGACACAGTACTGGGGACTGGAACTGTGCCATGGCTTTGCTCATAAAGATCCTTCCTTTAGTGTGGATTCTGTAGAAAGGCACTAACAGGCTTTAAGCAGGAGGGGAGATTTAGATGGGATATTGGGAAGGAATCCTTCCCTGGGAGGGTGGGGAGGCCCTGGCACAGGGTGCCCAGAGAAGCTGGGGCTACCCCATCCCTGGAAGTGTCCAAGGCCAGGTTGGACGGGGCTTGGAGCAACCTGGGCTAGTGGAAGGTGTCCCTGCCCAGGGCAGGGGGTGGCACTGGATGATTTTTAGGTCCCTTCCAACCCAAGCCATCCCATGAACTGCACAGAGGAGTCCCTGTGAAGCAGAGGGGTCACATCCTGTCCAACTTTGAGCTCCCAATGCTCAGAACCATCCCCAGCTGAAGGCTCAGGGGGGGTTTGGGCTGAGGACAGGACGGGGTGTCCCAGCTCCTCCTGCTGCCCAGCCCCTGCCTTGGATCACTCGGATGTTTGAGAGGCACTGCAGGGATAAAATGCAGCTTTTGCACTCCTGGTGTAATTGTTTTTGACAACAAAACTCTTTTAAATTCTCCCTGGATGTGTGGGGATCTTATCAGAGGCCAAGTGAGCTCGCAGAGCTGTTGAAGCAATTACAGGAGTCAGGGCTGGAGGCAGAGTCGATACCAGGCGGCTCCTGAGCTGAGCAGGGGTTGCTGTGCCAGGGCAGGAGCTCAGGGGATCAATAAGGGGTTGCTGTGCCAGGGCAGGAGCTCAGGGGATCAATAACCCAGAGCAGGGGAGGAATTCCAGCAGGGCAGTGGCAGGATGGGGGGTGTGGGGATGTGTCCTGCCCAGGGATTCACTCATCCTGCAGCCTCCTGGTCCCTGTGCCCTGCCTGGGGTGGAGCTGGTTTGCAGGGCAGGGCACTGCTGGGGGATTGCTGGCACTGCCTGGGGCCGTGTCCCCGTGTCCTGTCCCTGTGTGTGGCACAGGCACCCCCAGGACCCCGGGCTGGCACTGCTGTAGTGACAACTCGTGTGCTCCTTCCCTGGGCAGGCTGTTCCTGGCAGGACACACTCTGGAGATGCATTTGAGATCAACCTGGTTTCACAAAGGCACGTGTTTTAATTTCTTGGGGTTACTTCTTTTTGTTGCTTTTTTTCCCAGACACCTTCAGGAGCAGCAGCGTGGCAGGGGCTGGGACATGCTCTCACACACCCTGGGAATGGCACCTCACAGTGGCACTAACAGTTTGATTTTTTATTATTAGTCTCTCTTGCAGTGTAATTTTTTATTTTTAAAGCCTTACACAGGTGCAGATTTCCAGAGTCAACACTTCAATGGTACAAGCAAAGTGAAGGGGAAAAACCATCTGTAGCAAAATCAATGTGAAATGTAGAGCTCTTAAAAACACTGGTTTGCTTTTTCTGCCCCTAGAAGTCAATTTATTGTTAGGAAAACCAATACTTTTCAAGACTAATTATTACCATTTTTTTTAACCTTTGTCATGTAAGTTGTGATTAACTGAATATTAAGTTGTATTTGTGATTAAGTGAATGTTAGAAGGTGGCTGAGGCAGGTGGATAGAAGTTCACCTCCCAGATCCTCAGCCAGCAAAGCAGTTGCCCTTCAAGAGATGCTTCATCCCTCTCTTCCTTTTCATTTGCAGGAGAACCTCCCAGAAAGGTACCTGAGGTGAAAAGCACATCCTGAATTTTAAGGAAGGTTTTGGGAGTAGTTATTTGAACAGCACTTGCACAGGAAGGATGTGCTAGGAGGCTGGGAATGTTGGATTTGGGTGTACTGGTGTGGGGCACGGAGATCAGTAGGGCAGGAGGAATTCCATGTGTTCCAGGAATTCCCAGGGGTTGTGTTCAGGAGCCTTGGATATGGTGGGTTTTCTCTTGCCACTGTCTTCTCCCTTTCTTCTCCCACTGGAATTGTGAAGGACTGTGAGATCACGAGCTATTTTCTGCCCCTCTGGCTCTTTAGCACCACCATACATGGATACAAACACTCTGCTCCTTCCATGAAACTTCCTGAATGCTGAGGATGGAACACTGAAAAATGAGATCCTTTGGTGGCAAAGCTGCCCCTCAATGTGCTCTCTGTGGTGGGCAGGGCAGGCCCCTCTCAGGCCCCTCTCCTGCCCAGCCCCTGGCTGGCACTGCTGCCCAGGAGGATGGCTCCCTGTGCTCCTCACACCCTGCACCAGCAGCTGGGGCACCTGCCAGGGCTGGGAGGGTCCGAAGGAAAGGAATCACTGTCTCTGGGTCTGAAGTCCACAACTGTGCTCTCTAACCACGTACAGATGTACTTGAGTGGATTGAATATCCCCCCAGGATCTGATTTTCTCCAATTATGTCATTGGACTAA